GCAGACCCTGTTAAAAAAGAAAAGGAAACAAGCAAAGAGTTCCAATGTAAATAAGGAAAGAAGAATTACCGAAAACAAAGAGAAAGTAAAATGAGAAATCTACAAACCATCCTGCCCAAGCTAAGTAGAGTTTCTGACCCAGTTCAGGCCTGCCTTTGCTGAAACTGTGAAGATATGTGTACATTATAATAGTGGGTTCTGCAACCCCTACAATCAAGAGGGGTTGTCCACCAAAAATTGAATGGATAATTCCACAAATAGCAGTGGAAGCTAGTGATTCCGATATGCCAAGACTTCGATCTGAAGGAAAAGAGTGATAAAACCATCAGAAAAGTTCTCTGGAAAGCAACACAACTCTATGTATGTGAGACATTTTACGGTAGCTCAACCTGTCTCTCTGCTAAGCTGCTCGCCGAAAGCAATCACAGGTAGTGCAGAGGCAATGAAAATATACAGGGTTGGAGCTAGTATCCTAGCATTGTTAATGAAACACTATAAAGTCATTTTATTTGTGGGGGGCAACCAAACGTGAAGTAGAGAATTATGAACAAACCTGACACCAGAATTGAAGGCAGCAAGCCAGTCTTGTTTGTAGCACTTTCTTCTTCCTTTGAAATCGTTAATAATTCCACCAAATGGGAAATTAACTCCCTCCATAGCTGACCTCTTGAGGAATCAGCAATACCAATGAAGGCCTACAAAACAAATCAACAAATGATTCTCTAAATCATCATGAGCCAACCATATGAAATTGAAGCCAAGCGTTCTCCTAGACTTGAGAGTTTGCAAATCAACCAAAGGCATGGGCAATGTCTAATAAAAGCAACTGCAGGGATGATGCCTTCATCAACATCTCGTCGTACGTTTTTCTAACCTAGAAACCTTTCTTTATTTTCTCATCGTACAAACCAAAAAAAAGAGGAATTGAAAATCATAACATTTCCTCCAAATCAGACATATGTACGTACACACAAAAGGTGCATAGAAGGATGAAAGTAGAATCGCACCTGGAGGAGAAGAAGAAAGCGATGGCCGCCGCCGACCAACGTTGAGAGATTCGATTCCGGTGAGGGAGGAGGAGGGAGAAGTAAAGCAGATAAAATCTCTTTATCGTAATTTGGATCTCTCTCTTTCTGTTTTAGAGAGAGAGAGAGAGAGAGTCCGCACGCCTGAAGAAGGCAGAGGAGGAGAAATATGAAATATTTTAGAAAAGGGCCAAAATCAAAAACAAAACACAAAACGCATTTGAGAGACTCAGAAACAAAATAAAGAGAGAGAGAGAGGGAGTGTGCGAGATTGGGTGTGAGATAAATTCGCCAAATCCCGCGAAATAGTTGCTCTCTTCGTTAAAATCCCATATTTCAAAATCTATTTACTCTTTCTTATATACATCTATCAAAATCGATTCTCTATATTTTTTATTTTCGTTTACGAGAATATAGAAGAATCGTTGAAATTAAAAGGTGTAAAGTCACTCTGATCAATGATAAAAATAAATTTATTTCGAAAACAGCATGGACCAATATTTTCTTTCAAACTTGTGACACAAGCGTAGGAGAAGCCCTAAAAGACAGATAAAAAAAAAAAGGGTGAATAATAATAAGGTACAACAACACCAGAGTAGAGATGAGAGAGTATATCTGTTTATGTAAAGCTTTAAACTCCAGGAATGGGAAAACGAGATGTGAATGATTCTACTCTCTTCTTTAGACTCTCCACCCTCTCTTTCAATGGAAACTCAGGTGAAGTCACCAATTTGGTGAATTCTTGAAGCTTTGATCCCGTCACTATCTTCTTGGCTTCTATCGCTATCTCCACACCTTCCTTGATCAAGTCAGCCACTGCTACAAAGTCTTTCTCTGACAGTCCTCTTGTTGTCATCGCTGGCGATCCTATCCTTATTCCCCCTGGAACCAACGCACTTTTATCCCCTGTTTCACAGTCTCAATGTCACTTACTCTCTAGGGAATTGACTAACATCTTTTTCAATGGGAACAAGAATAAAGGCAGAAACGAACCAGGGACAGAGTTCTTGTTGAGAGTAATAGATGCCATGTCTAATATTTTCTCAACCCTAGCACCATCCATGCCCTAACCACAGCAAAAAAATACCGATCGAGATAATAAGAGATTCTTTGTTCTAGTCCATTTGCTTGGGAGATTAATGGGGTTTTGTAAGAACTTACCAATGGTCTAAGATCAACAAGAACAAGGTGATTGTCGCTGCCACCAGAAACCAGCTTAAACCCGAGTTCCACTAACCGGTTAGCTAGCGCTCTACAGTTAGATACAACCTAAACCAGCAAAAGAAGATTGCTACTAGTTAATCACAAACTTTCTCCACTACAGAAGAGCTTAAGGTAAGGATCAAGTAAAAAAGGGAGAGTACTCTTTTCTGGTAAGCCTTGAATTCCGGTGATTGTGCATGTTTCAAGCAGACTGCTAGTCCTCCAATTGTGTGGTTATGAGGGCCACCCTACAAATATATATAACTCAGACAAATTTTAATCACCTTGAAAGAAGTATTATCTACGAGAGCTAGAAGTAATGGTTAATATCTCAACCTGCAAACCAGGGAAGACAGCATTGTTTATGGCAGATTCAAGATCAACACCATTGATTGGATCCTTCCTGAAGAAGATCATGCCACCTCTTGGACCTCTCAAAGACTAGAAGGAAAATTATAAAACTATCAGCTACATTATTTTTGCTAGATACAAATCAAATTTCTGTTTCAGATTTTGGAACACGCATACCTTGTGAGTAGTTGTTGTAACAATATCACAATATTCAAAAGGGTCAGCTACCACAGAAGCAGCCACAAGCCCGCTGATGTGAGCCATATCCATCATCAGAAAAGCCCCAACGGAGTCTGCGATCTTCAGAAATTCATACAAATTGTGAGGAAAATTTAATATCAGATGCTACTGAAAGCCAAAACCAGACAGACACATGAAAGGAATAGTCAAGGATCCGGTTGAGTTTCTACCTTCCTCATGCGAGGATAGTCAAAGTCTCGGCTGTACGCACTAGCACCAGCGATAATAAGCTTCGGTCTGAAGAGTGCAGCAGTTTTCTCGAGCATATCATAGTCAACAATGCCTATTCAAATATTCAGACATCAGGAAATAGCCACACACAAAAGTAGTTGCAAGACCCTGTCATAAGAAATGCAGCACCTGTGGATTCATCAAGTCGATAAGGCATGGACTCAAAGTATATTGAAGTTCCAGATACACGCCTTTTAGCAGTCATGAACCCATGCGACAGATGACCACCATGAGGTAAGTCCAAACCCTAAATGCATCAAACAAGCCATTAGATTCATATCTCAAGCACAAAAGAAAAGATAAAGGTGAAAAGTGCAAAAGATCTTCACCATGATCCGATCATGAGGGCTAAGTATCGCAGTGTAAACAGCAAAGTTTGCAGGTGAACCAGATAACGGCTGAACATTAACCCCCCATTTCGTAGAATCTAAGCGGAAGGTGGCTAAAGCCCGATTCTGGCAAAGTGTCTCCAACTGATCGATGTACTCATTGCCACCATAATATCTGTGTGACATGGACAACAGAAAAAATATAAAATCTAGCAGATGAGTAACAAGAAGAACAAAAGTGGGGAACAAAAATTAATATCACATACTTCATTACCTTTTACCAGGCAGTCCCTCAGAATACTTGTTGGTAAGGCATGATCCAACGGCCTCCATAACTGCTCGAGACGTGAAATTCTCAGACGCAATAAGCTCCAAGCTTCTAAATTGTCTATCTTTCTCCTTTGTGATGATCGTACGGACCTCTGGATCAACTTCACCAAGACCATAGTCCGCAAACGGGATTTCATTGCCTAAATATCAGTCATAATTAAGTAAACGGGATCAAAACCACGCATGAAATGAGTGCAAATGTCTTCCACATTATTAACATAACCAAGAAAGTGAAAATTAGACTATCTTACTGCTCATCTCGATATTAGGTAGCGAGACTGAAGATGCTCTCCTTTCAGAGACCAAGTTTCTTTCCAGAAATGAAGAACGGAAAGGTTTTGAAAAATTGAACTTCAATTGCTGAGAAAATTTGGTCACTGGAGGCATTAACGAGGGAAAGACAGATCCCTGAACCCGTCCAGGTTGCTGAAGAGAACCCATCGAAGTACCACTACAACAAGCTTGCATTCTTTCTGGCTCCTACACTTAAAAAAAAAAAAAAATTGTCACAGGAAAACAATAAACAAAGAAACCAGTAATTGTACCCAGCTAGTTGAAAAGCAACGACTCAGATATATACATATATCCAAAAATGTAAAAATCCTTGTTTTATGCGTCGCCAACATTCCCAAAAATGAAGGAACTTGCAAACAAATAACTCCAAAGTAAATATGAGTACGACAGAGAAAAGGAAAACTAGAATCTCACAAAACAGGTTGTTTGGATTCTGAAACAACCAACGACTAAAACTTATCAGCAAAATCCGAGACAGAGAAACAGTGGAGCATATTACCAGCTCCGTACCACCGAGACCATACTCAATTACCAAATATTGGACACAGCAGAGGGAATTTTTAATTCAAATATAAAATCTTCCGAAAGCTAAACACCCAGAAAAGAAAAGACAAGCGAGAAAACGAAAACAGCCAACACTCACCGGAAAGGTACAAACTTTGTGAGCTTGCGAGAGACGAGGTCACTAAAAGGATGAAGATGCGAGGGAGAAGGAAGACAGAGATTGTAGGATATGGTGGAGGAGAAGAATTAGTGACTGTGTTTAGGGTTTTACGGGCCACACCACACACAACATATAAAAGCTCCAAGAACGGGACAGCCACCGAATAAATCATATACCAAACGACGACGTCAAGTGCGATGTTTGGTTTATGCTAAACCGGTTCTTCTTAATAAAGCAAGCAATTGGTTTTGATTGAATTTTTTCAGTGGTTTAGACTTTAGATCAATAACATATTGTACATACTTGCCATAGATCTTATAAACGTAAACCATATGGAGAAACAGATTGATAAACAAATCAATATACAAACTCTTGTCTTTGATTATAAGAGAAACCAAAGAGAATGAATACAAACAAGAAGCTGTTCTCCAAAGTAACTTATTCCAAAGTTTTAAACAAACACAAAAAAAATTGGGATCCAGAAGTGGTTTTCAGTTTTCACACAGATTTTCTCTTCTCGACATCAGTATCCATACAACAAATGTCCTTTCCAGCTTTGCAAATAGACCACAACGCATATAGACCGGATATATCTATTTGGTTGGCCATGTTGCTTGTGCAGACATAATGATCCCCACAATAACTCCAAACAACCCAAGAGCACTCCCGAAGATCTCGATCACAAGAATCTTTACAAAGAGTGTTGAGTTTTGGGCATCAGATAATGCACAACTGCTCCCAATGATTCCTACACATAACCTGCAAAAGAAATGTGAGCTCGGTTTGCATATCTGACAATGAAATTCAAAAACCAAAACTGTAAGAAAAGAGAAAGGGTAAGATACAGACCCGCATACAAGGTTGGCGAATCCAACTATGATTCCAGATGCGAAGATTGCGTATCCAGCTCTAAGAGACTCAGCGTCATACATCTTTGAAGATGGGACGCTCTCCAACTTTGTTTGGAGTATGATTGCAACAATAACGCCATATATAGCTACAGCTTCGCAAAAGATTACACTGAGAAAATTCAAAAGAACACTGCAATGTTATATCATTGAAGCCCAAGCCTTAAGCTTAGTCAAAATCAAATTAAAATGCAAACACAACTATTCCTGCTTAAGCATTCCTAAGTACTACCCTTTACCCACTCAATATGGTTTGGAAATGGGGTGTGGTAGTTGACATCGATGTTACTGAGCATCAAACTACAAGCGTGTAGCTCAGTAACAACAACAAATAAAACTGCAAACACAGTTTGATATTTAGCAGAATATAAAGGGCACCAAAAACTAAGTTAACACTGACTTTTACAAGAGAATTTTATCTTCATCCCATCATTTGACATTTAGCTACCTTGATGGTATAAATGTTTCTGCTGAAATACACGTGAAAAGACAAAAGACCTTGCTTATCATCGCATCCCGTGCCTGAATACCCAACGCCAGAGCCATTGTGTTTCATCATACACCAAAGTTACTAGCGGTACCAACTAAATCCCAGGTCAACAACTTCTTCTATCATCTTCTGACAATACTCTTGCAGAGATGTAAATATCCAGGAACGAATATAAATTACGCTACTGAGAGATGACTTCTCATTGCTATTCAGAACAAGACATTGAATCTACACAAGTTCCTTAAAAATGGCAACTAATTTGGCTTTCAGAAAGATGGAAACCAAAGGAACAAAAGCTAGAATTAAAAGCGTGAGCCTTTAACAAACCTGATGAGATTCTTCGAAGTGATACGGGGAGCTTCTATAGCCGCACCGATCAAACTACTTCCCGTAATGTAAATTCCCCTGAATAACAACACAAAGCCAAAAAAAAAAAAAATAGTGAAACACAATGCTTCGCATATCAAATAGGTCAATGATTTTATCTACGGGGAAGAATATTGAAAATACCAGGCGGCACCGAGCACTGAGACGCCGATCGAGATGGCGATTCCGATTGCGGAGAAAGTGTAGGGCGAAATCCTTACCAGCGCTGCACCCCACGAGCTCGCATGACCAAGACCAACAACCACACCAGACATCTCTGTATAATTATCTCTCTCTGTTATCGAGATGGTCGTGATTCGTGATTCGTGATGATGATACGATCTGCTTCCAAGCGAAATAATCAGGGCCTGTGATCTGAAGATATTAAGGGAAGTGAAAATCACGCGCTCTAAATGTGCGTGAGTGTTAGTATATGAAAACCTTACAACGACGACGGCGTTTCAGTATCTTTTGTTGTTAGTTTGGGCTTCATAAGATAATTTCAAAAATGATAAGCCCAGTAAGAATATATGTAAAGCCACTTTGGTGAATAGTAATTGCGAAATAGAGTTTGCAGCACGTTAACTATCGCAACACGTTACCTTAACTAGTACCGCCTCTATTTTGAGTATTTTGAGTGTAACATCTACGAGACCATCAATAATGATCGATACAAACCTTAGTTAAGAGACCATTAATAGAGTTGGTAAACCATTCCTTATAATATCCGGCGGATTACCAATCTACCCTCGTTTATTGCCTGATATTCTGCATAATCAACTCACAGTAGATAAATAAGATAGCAATGATGATTAGCCAAACACAGACCAACAATATTCAAGAAAGGACACATGCTCATAATAAGTCATAACCCAAGTTAAATAGAAAATGATGCCAACTCTTGAAAATTTGCCTTGTTATTATTTCATGAATCTATACAACGTAAACGGATTTGATTCTAAATAATTTGTACGTTTTTAGTTTCAAAACCCTCAAAAATAACACTTTAATTTGCTAAATGTAAAATAAAATGCCAATGTAAATCTTTACTAGTATTGAATAACAACTTAATTTTTAAACAAACATCTCGAAAGCATAAAAGTATTAAACCAATGACACATGCATGCTTCTGATTAAAATCTAGTTAAACATGAAATTTGCTTAGGATATTCAAAATTAATTAGAACCCATTACCCATGCATGAAGCAATAAAGTCAAATTATACATATATATATAAATGAGCATTCATTGGCTATCTGTTGGTTCCATTTATCATATGCAGAGTCGTCGACCAAACTTTATTTCTAGTATTTTTATTTATTGGTTTTTCGATTCCGAATTTTTTCATTTTCTGGACGTTCCTCTCGAAACATAGAAAATAGTAGAAATCATATCATATATCGATCAATGGGTGATTACCTTCTTATTCCCGTTATCATCGGAATTATCTTTGCTTTTTCGTCTCTCGTTTCATCCGATGAACTGTTGGGTAAGTTTTTCCTCGGGTGACTGTTATAAGAGTGCTTTTTTTTTTGTAGTATATGTTTTGTCGTGGTTAATTTCTTGTAAACGTACCTTATCGACAGTTGTGGGAGAAACCGAAGAGCTTCTGGTCAATACTAATTTTGTGGTTAAGGTTAAGGGTTCTCCTAGACAGAATCAAGACTTACCAACTCTATGTGAGAGGATACATATCTATGGACGTCAAAGGTTAAAACATATAGACAAGTATGCCCATTCACTCAATGTGATTGTTAACGTGTCAACCGGTGACAACACAAGTACCACACACGTTTGCTTCCACAGGTAATTTGTCAATGACATATATTATCTTTGCAGTCTAAAAAGCAGATTCTGTATAGCGCTCTTCCAATAATGTCGCTAATGTGTTTCCTTGATATTTGTTTTAAGGAATTTGTCGCTTGCAATTGGAATGTGCCCTCATAATCAATGGGAGAAAGTCTCTAATGGTTCATGGACTCAGACAATGTCACCATTTGACCAAAAAATACTTAGTGTAAGAACAACCGGCTCATCCAAGGCTACTCTGAAAGTGTCTATTGTAGAAGGTGATTGTTGCTTGCTGGCTACTTTTTAACTACACTATTAAACTGTCTTGCGCTTTGGTTTGACTTTCTAATGTTTTATCAACTCCAATTTTACAGAACTGTGTATGATGAACATAGTGTTCTTAATCCTTGGTTCCATTTTGCTGAGTTCGGCTTCTACACTGAGCAGATCAGTAGCATTTTACTACACTTGTGTGATGTCTATCGGTATAGTCCTTGCTGTGTTGCTTCTTTTCTTTCAGGTATTTTTCAACTTTTTCTCCAATATGTTCTTCTTCTTCTTTGGTTTAACCTATCAAAGAGAGCTTATATATATATATATTTGTTGATTTTGGATGTATTACAGGGACTGAAGCGCCTACCAACTGGAAGGAATTCTTCAGCATTGTTCCTATATTCATTTGTGGTGGTTGTGTTTTTGTCCTTTCTCGTACTGGTCATTATCTCCGACCTCTTTTCATCTTATCCAACACACTGACAAAAATACATTTTTGGTCAGGTTGGTTTGGTTGGTGTCTTTTTCCGCTGCATAACCGAGTTGTTTCAAAGTATGGAAATATTGGTGGGATTCGATGAAGGAAATCCCGAACTTGTAAGTAATTTTAATAGTGTCAGGACATTGCCTCTGTTGTATGAGGGAGTATTTTTTTAGTTTAAAATTGTCCGCATTTTTGCCTTGCAGATGGCACTCTGTTTGTGGTTGCATCTATATCTTAGTGGACTAATTTTTGGACTTCACGCTGTCAAGAGACTTGCTCTGACTAAAGATGGCTCCATTGACTTAACCACATCAGTCTTTGTATCTTGGTCCATTTGGATTTCAGCTGCTGTTTTGATTCTTCAGGTCCTTTCTCATGATTTTCCAGTTTTCCATTCAACCCCTACATTTTTCCTTATAACCAATTTCAATCCATCCTTTTTTTTTTACATGTTGTTTCCAGAGCACCATGGATCCTCTGCTTGGTGGAGGAGCACTGATATCTGTAATTTTTATGTCATCGATGCTGAAGAAGAGCACAAGATTGATGACTTTCTTAGGACGCGTACACGAGTGAGTTGCAACCCAATCTCTTTTACCTGTTTTTTTTCTTCAACAATACCAGAATCTTTTTCTTCTTCTTGTCATCTTGATTACGAATTTGAAGTTGTATTTTTTTTTTTACTCAGGATTATGACGAAGTTACTGCAAGGAATCTGGGAGAAAATTCGTGATGTTGCAGGGCCAATGGTTCCGGTATCTATTTGTGAAATGTTGCGAAAGATTCATTTTGAACCTACATTAAGAGCAAGGTCGGATCGAAATGTTACAGTCCAGAAGAGTGGGCACAATAATGTTAAGGTCGTGATTTGTGATGAGACGATCTGCTTCCAAGAGAAAATAATCAGGGCCTTGTGATCTGAAGATATTAAGGGAATTGACAACCACGCGCTCAAAATGGGCGTCAGTACGTTGGTTGTACAATATATGAAACCAAACGACGGCGTTCGTATCCTCGTTCTTAGTTTGGGCCGCATAAGATAATTTGAAAAATGATTAGCCCAGTAAGAATATATTATAGGCCACTTTGGCAAAATAGTAATTGCGAATAGAGTTTGCAGCACGTTAACTCTCGCAACACGTAACCTGTACCGCCTCTATTTTGTTGATTTTTGAGTGTAACATCTATGAGAGTTGGTAAACCATTATGATATCCTGCGGATTACCAATCTAACCTCGTTTATTGTCTAATTATTCTGCATAATCAACCATCACAGACTCACAGTAGATAATATATAAGACCATCTCCAATGGTCATGAGGTTCTCTCCAATATTTAAGTAATTTTTTTGCTTTTTTCAAACTTGAAAATTTGAATAAGAGATTTTAAGTTTTGTATCCTCCAATGGTTAGAGAACTCCATTAGGGATTCTTAAGAAAAAAGCAAATTTTATAAAACAATACATTTATATTTTTGTTTGGGTTACAATACATAGTCATAGAAGAGAAATAAGAAGTACAAAATTCACTACTTGTGATTCAATAGCTTCTGATTTTTGCTAAATTCGCAAGAGAGAGAGAAAGAAAGAAAGAAGAAGAAGAGGTTTGATGTTTGCCCAGAAATCGAGAGAAAGGGAAGAAGAAGAAGAATTGTGATGTTTCCCCAGAAAAAAAAATAAAGAAACAGACGAGAAAGAAAACAATAAATGAGATTTATTTTTTCATTAATTTTTGCTGACCAATCAAAAACGAACACGCCTGAGTCTCTTACGAGCTCTTCAATTTCCGTTTACAGAACTGGTTCTGTGTTTAATTACCTATTTTTGATTTATTTTTTCTCAATTAAATGCTGAGAACTCACTAAGAGAACTCCCGTTCGAGTTGCTCTAAGATAACACAGACCAACAATATTCAAGAAAAGACACATGCTCATAACTCATAACTCATAACCCAAGTTACATAGAAAATGATGCCAACTCTTAATCATTGCCCTGTTATTATTTCATGAATCTATACAACATAAATGGATTTAATTCTAAAGAATCTGTTTTTAAAAAAAATTTCAAAACCCTCAAAAATATATACTGTAAAAATAAAATGCTAATGTAAATCTTTATTAGTATTGAATAACACTTCATTTTAAACAACACATCTCGAAAGCATAAAAGTATTAAACCAATGACACATGCTTTTGATTAAAATCTAATTAACATGAAATTTGGTGAGGATATTCCAAATTAATTAGAACCCTTGAAGCAATAAATGAACATTCATTGGCTATCTGTTGGTTCCATTTATCATATGCAGAGTCGACCAAACTTTATTTCTAGTATTTTTTTTTATTGGTATTTCGAGTTCATATATTTTTTTTTTCCATTTTCTGGACGTTTCTCTCGAAATATAGAAAATAGTAGAAATCATATCATATATCGATCGATGGGTGATTATCTTCTTATCCGCGTTATCATCGGAGTTATCTTTGCTTTCTCGTCTCTCGTTTCATCCGATGAACTGTTGGGTAAGTTGTTCCTCGGGTGATATTGCATGTTAGAAGAGTTCAATTTTTTATTTTTTTGGTTTATCTGTTTTGTCGTGGCTAATTTCTTGTATACCCTATCAACAGTTGTGGGAGAAACCGAAAAGCTTCTGGTCACTACTAATTTTGTGGTTAAGGTTACGGGTTCTCCTAGACAGAATCAAGACTTACCAACTCTATATGAGAGGATACATATCTCTGGACGTCAAAGGTTAAAACATATAGAGAAATATGCACATTCACTCAAGTTGATTGTTAACATGTCACCCGGTGCCAAAACAAGTACCACACACGTTTGCTTCCACAGGTGAGTCAATTCTCTTTAGCTCTATGAGCTTAATTTTGTTCCATATGTGAGCCAATCTTTGCAGTCCAGCCTATATTCTGTAACATTCTTAGAATCATAGATACGATGGTTGTCTCTACCAGTCATTATGTAATATAGCGTCTCAACTAGGTTTCCCTGATACTTTCAATTTATGTCTTATATTTTATCCAGTTCCATTCAAACTATATAATTCAACACAATAACCCAAATCAATTAAATTTTTTAATAGCGTTTTAAAATCGATAATTCGCGTACACTACTACGATTTGATTAAGTCTTATTTGAAATATGAGACTCAGCCTCATCTTTTTAACGCAAGACGAATCCTTATGTTTAGCTTTCATCAAAACCAAACACAATTTGAGATGAATCCTTATGTTTAGCTTTCATTATAATGCTATTGAGAAGTTTAATTGATTTTAGTTAATTAGGTAGAATTATATAATTTGGGTGGAATTGGATAGAATGTATGTCGTGGAATTGGACAAAGGCTAAAAGTATAGGGTGAACCTAATTGAAACATTATATTACAAGGGGATTCGTAGAGGCAGCCCAAAAATATGATCATATCGCTCTTCCAATATAGCTAATATTTCCGTGATATCTTTTTAGGGATTTGTCGCTTGCAATTGGAATGTGTCCTTATAATCAATGGGAGAAAGTCTCCAATGGTTCATGGACTCAGACAATGTCACCATTTGACAAAAAAATCCTTAGTGTAAGAACAATCGGCTCATCCAAGGTCACTCTGGAAGTGTCTACTGTAGAAGGTGATTGGTGGTTGCTCGCTACTTTTAACTACACTGTTTCTTTCCCATTGGTTGAACTTTCTAGAGTTTTATCAACTCCATTTCTGATTTTGTAGAATGGTGTATGATTCACATAGTGTTCTTAATCATTGGTACCGTTTTGCTGAGTTCGGCTTCTACACTGAGCAGATCAATAACATTTTATTACACTTGTGTGATGTCTATCGGTATTATCCTTGCTGTGTTGGTTTTTCTCTTTCAGGTATTCTCAACTTTTTCTTTTGAGTCTTAACCTATAAAAGATAGATTTTATATACTTGTTGCATGATGGTTTTCAATATATATATATATATATATATATATATATATATATATATATATATATATATACTTGTTGCATGAAATTACTTTATAATGGATGCACTACAGGGACTGAAGCGCCTACCAACTGGACTGAGTTCTTCGGCATTGTTCCTATATTCATCTGTGGTGGTTGAGTTTTTGTCCTTTCTCTAACTCATCATTATCGCCGACCTCTTTTTATCCAATACTAGTGACAATACATGTTCTTCATTTTTCGCCAGGTTGGTTTGGGTGGTGTCTTTTTCCTCTACATACCTGGTTTGTTTCAAAGTATGCTAATATTGATGGGAATTTCCGAATCTGTACGTAAGTTTAATAGTTTCAGTACTTTGTCTCTGTTTTGGTTTACAAGTGGATCTTGTATGCATGAGTGAGTACTTGCAAGTTAATTAACAAGCTCATTCTAAAGAAATTGTCCGCATTTTTGTTTTGTAGATGGTACTCAATCTAAAATTACATCTTTATTTTAGTGGAATATTTTTTGGACTCTTCGCAGTCAAGAGATTTGTCCTGACTAGAGGTGGCTCCATTGATGTTAAGACATCACTCTTTGTATCTTGGTCCATCTGGATTTTAGCTGCTGTTTTGATTCTTCAGGTCCTTTCTGACTTTTCAGTCTCCTTCAAACTCTACATTATTTACTTATAGCTGATTGCATGGCATCTTATAAAAAATAAACATGTTGTTTTTAGAGCTCTATGGATCCTTTACTTGGTGGAGGAGCACTAGTATGTGTAATTGTTATGACATCGATGTTAAAGAAGAGCACAAGATTGATGACTTTCCTAGGACGTTTACACTTGTGAGTTGCAATCAAATCTCTTTTACCTGTTTTCTTCAACAAAACCAAAATCTTTTTGTTCTCTCTTGTTTGTTTGATTTCGAATTTGAAGTCATTTTTGCACGTAGGTCTCTGATTCTGACGAAATTAATGGAAAGACTCTGGCAGAAAATACGTGGACCAATCATTCCAGTGTCTCTATGTGAATACTTGGAAAGGATTACTTTTGAATCTTGGTCAGAAGCATGATCCAAAAGTTAACAAAATTTCAGATGTCAATACATGCTTTACTAAGATTAACTAAAAAAATAAAATAATAAATATTATATATATATATATATATATATATAGTTTTCTAAGTATTTGTTATTGGGTGCATGTGCAAACACAATATAGGAATAAGACGATGTTGATTAAGGGGGTCGTTTTGTGACACGGTTAGATATGATATGTAATGGGTACCTGCACTAATTTGTTGTTCCATAAAATACCTTAAGTAAATCAACTAAATTGTCGAAGAAAACACGGCGTATTAAGGATTTGATGATGGATATATATATACTAGAGAATTCAATTGATCAGATCAGCTTTGTTTTATCGAGAAATTGAGGGAGCCGAGGGAACATGCTTAGTTGTGACTTGTGAAAGAGAGAGAGAGAGATAGATAACCAAAGGAATACGAATAAGATTTTGAATGGATAAAAAATAAGAATTTCTATAATTTATTGTGTACAATGAAACTAAACCAGAATGCAATAACCAACGATAACCAGAAACAAACCAACATTCTGTTTCTGACAAATTTTTTCCCCGAATCAACGAGAGAGATGCTATTACAACATATATTAGGCCATGATTGGTAATTAAAAAGCCTTTCGCATAGTTTTTGGTTTTTTCAAGATCCGTTTAGTTTTCCGAATTTTTCATAATTCATTTAGTAAACAAGATTATGGTAAAAAAATAATTTCCTAAAATTAGAATATTTAGATCTTGAGACTTGAGAGTTTTTTGTATTTTTCTAAATACGATAGAGGATCCCATTTTTAATGAGTTATTTGTTTTCAGATTTGTTTGCAACAAAAGCTGTTTCTATATATTTCTTGTATTACTACTATTTTAAAGTCCAAAACCCAATTAGAAATTATTAATAGCTGTGGCTAATTTTAACCTGATAAAAGAGAAAAATAATGGACATACTGAACCACGACCGAGCGCAGCTATCGACTGCCTCAACATTTATTGAGGATTCGCCTCAAATCATTATTAATCTTGCCGCCGGGGAAAGCTAGTAGAATAGTTTTAGCAAAACCACTAGCTAATTTGTATGATAATTTCAGACGTTTCTAATAGTAATAATTAGATATCAGTGTATTCCATTTACGTTAATAGACATATCGAGATGTATACAATTATATTAAGCCGTATCCAGGTATATGCTATAATTATCTAATACAACATATATATATATATATATATATGTATATACCTACTAGAATGAATATATCCTTGTAATATATGGTTAATAAGTTTTCTTTTCTATTAATTACTAGTACTGGCAGCAGCAAGCAAGCTTCATCCTTCATTAACGTTATCCACTTCTCCAGTCTGTCCCGACACGACCGCCAGCTCTTCCTCTCTCGGAGCCACACCTTCGATAACCAACGTCTTGTAACAAGATAAAACTATGGCACCTACTGTCAGAAGCACCACCTGCCATTTGTTCGTGGTTATTTCATAAATTAACACAAATGAAGCTTGTATAAACCCCCCTGCCACGTCGAATTCTTCCGTAATCCCAAACAGCACCATGAAATGTACAAGATGTAGGAAAAAGAAGACACAGAATAATATCACCCATAGTTTGTTTTGGTGTTTGAGAGTTGAGTCGAGAAAAACGAACACGGCTAACACTATGGTCTTTCCGTTTCCCTTTACCACGCAGAAAATGTTTGGGTGCTTTCGAGGCTTCATGGCAAGTGAAATGATTCTGTCACCGTTGTAAGTGTGACCGCAATAGATGATGCCGTACATGAGCAAACTCATAAATATGACAGCGAAGATGTTATTCACCCACGTTGGTCTTTTATCGATGTCTGGAAGGAACATCACCAAAATACTTAAGTAACTCCCACCAAGAGTTAAAATTCCCATAGCTAAGAGAAATTCCCTGCGGTTGTAGACCCAACTTTTGAATTTTCCCAGCTCTCTTTCAATTTTATCCATCCATGTTAGAGCCTCCATCGTTGTCCTACAAAAAGAAAGCCAAACGTTGATAAATCTTAAGCAAGAACATATATGAACCCGCCAACTTTATAAAAATATATAGACTCACACGACTATGGAAACTCTCGTTAGTGATTGGGAGTTCACGAAGACATCAAAAACAACTTTTAGGACGAGATGAAAACCCTATTTAAGAACTAATTAACACCTAGAAACTCAGCAAAAACTGCAAAGAATCCATAACATGGTATAGAAGAGACTAAAGAAAATTAACATTTCGACTACGTACAGAGACTCAACACACAGATCTTATGTTCGAGCTTTGGGAAAGATTGATGAAGTAGAGAGGAAAACACGGAGACAAGCTAGCTTACTTCCAAAGTTGAGTTTAAGTTTTAACCAAAGGAGAAAAAAGAAAGGAAGAGTTAAGGGACTCGAAACAGATACGACGCTTGTTTTGTTATATTTATAACGTGGTATATAAAGACTATAGGCAAAAGAAAAAAGAAAAAAGACTAGGGCAAACAGTTTTCGACTACACACCTGAATTGAAATGGGGGTTTTGAAAATGTCAACGACTCAACACAAGAACGAGAGGTAAAGTATCAGCAGAAAAGAAGACAAGCTTACCTTTGAGCTTTGAGAGAGATCAATGAAGGAGCGAGTAAAGAAAAAACGGAGACAAGCTTGTTTACGAAATTGAATTTGAGACAAGTGATGTTTCTATCTGAGACGACTATGTCTAGTATATATATAGAGAAGCATATATATGTACATGAAATACATATATAGAAACTTGCACATTGTATATATATATGCATTAAAAACTATTTTCTTTTTCGTATTTTTTGTTTGTGGTACCTTTTCTTATTATTTAAGCTTTTTTTTTCTCCCTTCGTGTGCTTTTTTCCTTTTATATATATATATATTGATCTCATTTTCACATTAAGTAATGGTCAAATTCAATAAAAGTTCAGATAACATTGTGTGGTACGTACGGTATATACACATAAACAGGCACATCACAGGCACATCAAGTATTCATTCATAAATAAATACAAAAAAACTAATAAGGAAGAGCGATGACGTGATTGAATGTTAATGGATAACGATCATTTATATATTTAACCAAAGATAGGCACTGTGCTACCTTGTAGCCCAGCAGCCTGATCCTCATTCGTTCCAACTTCCATACGATGGCAAATCCGTAATTTAACTACTTTCATGCATGAATTAGCAAAATTGGTTTGGGTATTATTGTATAATCTGGTCTCAGAATTCATCAAAATCTAAGCTACATTGGTCGTAGACAGTTGAAAGTTCTCAGTATATAAGTTTTCAATTTTATAACATTGTTGAAATCGATATATAGACCTTATTCTGATATCACCAGAGAAGTTTGGAAGATATGAAGCATATATATAGTTGTAGAGTGTACTAATAATTTTCATTAGTAATGTGAGGTTCATTTGATGTAACCATTATGCGCATCAATCATAAATCCTAAATATCGATCAGGTATCAAAAATATGAATTGAGCATAACTGTGAGCAAAGGAACAACGAATTAGCACGAAAGGTCAATACTCATGAATATTGAAGACTCATATTAAACCTTTAGCTTATCAGTCTGTTGTGACGTGTAATTATGGTCTGTGGACCCAGATCCCACTTCACAATTATATATAATTATATATGCACAACACTCAGAAGTATATATTTTTTAAGAATATTAAAATAAATCACACATGATAAAGTGATAATGTCGCAAATATAAAACAAAATGTCAATATTCTAGTTTTATGTCTGAAATCAGCTAACCGTGTTTTAGTTACAATAAATCAATACGATAAAATACATTACTATATATGTTATGCATTAGACAAATAGGGGGAAAATACATAAGTATGTATATGATTGGAAGTAGCGTAATTAGGGTAATTTTTTTTTTTGTATCATCATCTACTCATAAATGCATATGCATATATTAATGTATATATCACACGTATTGGACCACACAGTAATATATACTATAAAAAGAGGTTATAGCTAGCTAGCTAGCTAATCTGCAGGTAGATGATCATCACATATGGGTTTGGAGAATCTCATAGTTTTATCTTTCGTGTTAAGAATCTCTATATTGTACTCCATCTCTTCTGTTTATCCTTGCATTTGTTTTTTCTTAATTTATTATTTTTGTTTGTAAGAATGTTTTCATTTTTCATTCTCCTTTTGTACGTCTTTTAGTTAATTCTTTTTTGCTGGTAACTTCTTCTTTCTTCTTTGCCGTCGAATTGATTTTATCTAACAATAGTTGTTGGTAATTGAATTATAATTCTTACATGCGATCTACCCAATGCCTTGTGTGCATGCATCACCTAGAGACGTTTTTGGTATTCTGAATTTATATTCTTAAATGCATAGACTATTCTGATACATATACCTTAATGTATATAGACTAGAAATCAATATATGTTTTCTCTTCAAAACAGCTTTTAGCTCCTAGTTAGATATAGACAACAATATGTAACTGTATGGAAGATACGGTACGCTTCAACGTAAACAAGGAATCGAAATAAATGAATTAAAGAGATTAAAGAACACTACGTATACAAAAAAAAAAAGAGAGAGGTTTATTTAGTGATGTTGAAAACAAGAAAAGATCACAGTTATTGGGTCCAAAGGGGCCTCTTTCCGTTTTCCTTTGTGGCCCACTTTCTATGAATGAAGCCCAATCATTATACAAAGCCTTTTATCTAACTCACAGACTTACAAGTCTTACGTTCCAATTTCTACCGACCAAAAAATCATGCATCCAAATATTCCATATCAAATTTGGTGCAGCTTCGATTACAGTGAGAATTATACAAAGCCTCGTTAGTGTTCCAAAAAGCGGTTTAGGCGGTTGTCTAGGTTCCGACTAGGCGCTAAATATTCAATCGACGTTTATACGACTGTCTAAACCGTCCAAAATTACATAAATTATATTTTTATAATTTCTAATTAAATATATTTAAAATTTAAGTTTTACATCTGTATATATAATTATAATTTTTCATATGTTATTGATACAAATTGAATAGAAGTTTATTTTTCATATTCTTTTATGATTTATCACTAAAATTTCTATATCATATAGTTTTATATAACTTTTAATCTAAAATTTTATGTAGTAAACACCTAAATCACCTAAAATCGTCTAGGCCCCGACTAAGCGTTTTAAGCTCTTTATTGAACATTTTTCCCCATGCATGCATTTACGTTGTCTTGTTTTTTTTCTATTGTTACAATTGACCTTACTTTTTACGTACTGATTCTAATTGTATATAAAGAGATATTTGGTTATGACAAATATATATATATATATATATAAAGAGATATTTGGCTAAAGATATATATATATATAGAGATATTTGGTTAAAACAAATATTAATCATATAATACACCTCAAAACAGCGAGTTCAAAATGATGACTGAATCCCATCTAATATCAAAAACAACCCTTTTTTGTAACTTAGACACTTACATGATCTCGTGTTCCAAAAAAAAAAAAAAGACACTTACATGATCTCTGTTCCCGTTTCTTACATACCATATTGGTAGGCGGTAGCTGCAGCCTGCACGGAATCAGATCGGATCTCTAACCAAAAAAAAAAGAGGCTACCAACAAAATGGTGTTATTAAAATGGGTTTCAAAACATGTGGTCTCTTAAGAGCTACTCTACTCTTTCACACTCCTTTTTAATCATCTGGGAACCAAAGATAGCAGAGCACACATCAGGAAAAGGCGGGAAATCGAGCTTTGATCCACAAAACATTGTTTCCCATGGTCTCTCTGACATCTTTGCTTCCTTCCTAGATCTCTTCTTCTTCTTCTTGCTTATTGCTGCAAGAAAAACCTCATAATCTATGGCGCTACTCTCCAGCTTTTCATCGCTATAAGGATCGAAAAGAACATATTCATGGCTCCTGTTTACATATCCGAGAAGTGGCTGAGACTTTTTACTGTCTGCCACAAATGAAAGTGTTCCTCCCCTGGCCTGCAATAGACATTTTCATCAAGAATCTTAAAAGTAATGGGAAAACTTTGATTAAAATCCTTAGAGGTAGACAAATATACCTTCATTACAGTCCAAACAGCTACCGGTTTAGAGCTTGACCCATCAAACAAGAGGATAGCGCCATCTTTCCCGCGGAAGATCTGTTCATTAGATTTTGCCGACCTATAAGATTCTGGAAGCCATGTTAAAACTGCAAAGCATGGAGAGTCCACTTCAGTGGCAACGGCTGCAAATAAATAAGACGAGGAAATATACTTAGACAACCAAAAACTTAGATTTTATGGAAAAAAGAAAGAAAGAAAAGATAATTGATAAACCTTGTACGTGTAATCTGTATGACCATGATAAATTGAACGTCATCAAGTCCCAGACGGACAAGTGCGGTTTAAAGCCATGAGATGCAGCAATAAGGAAGCCTCCTCCAGTCACTGAGAGTTCCATAATTGGCTGAAACATTTACATATCATTTAAGATTTCAACACTGGCTGTATTTAGTTAATGAACATGGATTTGTTTTTTTTTTTTAAGATTTCTTACCACATTAGCCTTTCCAACTTCAAACAAAAGTTTGTTCTTTAACGGATGCCATATCAGAAGAACTGTTTTAGCCGCAAGAAACAGACAAGAACCATCCCCGGAAAAAACAGCAGCTGTCATTGGTGTTCTCCTGAAAAATATTTTCATCAGTTTCAATTGAGATCACAATGACTAGTAATGAGAAATGTTCAAAGGTTCCTAATATTTTACTTATAAGAGCCAGCTCCATGACATATCCAGTTTGAATCCTCAGGTGTCAGATTCTTGTCGCTATTGCAAACCCAAATCTTGAAAGACATAAAGTCATATCAGTAACACAAAAGGCCAAATGAAATTCCAAGGAAATGATTCATTATTCAGGACACTTTAAATTAAAAATCCTACCTTGAAGTCCCCAGCAGAAGATATACTAACAGCCATGGAACGGGTGGGGTTAAGGGCAATGACTGTGATAGCAGCTTCACTGTAAAAAATACAGAAGGGTAAAAAGTTACTCTCACGATGAGACTCAAGTAGTCTGAAATTTTGTAAGAACAAAAACATAATGTAAAAACCTGTGAGGTTGATTTATGACTGTTGATAAGCTAAAAGTTTTGCTGTCTGGTACAAACACCCAAAACTTGAGAGAAACTAAGCCTTCACTGAGATTACTAGCAGCAAATCTGGCCTCAGCTGTACTCATCACTGAGCCATTCCGAGAGAGAGCAACCGCTGTCAAGGAAACCTATTTTCCATAAATCTTCAAATTATTAGAAAACAGAAAGAGAGCAGATCCTTTGACTAGTAATAGCTATGTCATCTTACAGAGAAGAAACAAATATTTACGAACCCGAACTTCATTATCATCAGGATGGTGATTTCTCTCGCAAACTTGAACCTGCATAATGCATATGTTAAGGTTTTTAAATAGTAAAACCAAACAACTATCAAATACAAAACTCAATAAGCCTTTTAGGATGCTAACCTCTGAAATTTCATGGTCACTTAAGAGGTTGTAAAGCTGAACACGATGATTCGCTGTGCAGAGAGCAGCTATACCGGAAGAACGATCAATGAACACAGTTCTGATGAGGCATATATCCAGAGTTCTGAGGTAGCTTATAAACCCTATAGGGTCTGATCTTCGAGGCTATTACATAGTAAGAACAAAATACGCATCTGAAGTTAACTCCAATAGAAATGGAATCCAATAGGAGAGTGCTTAAACTAACATAACAAAGAAAAAAATTTGGATGATAATAAGAACAAACCTTGATTCCAGATATCGTTCTCAATATCTCCATGGAAGGCATTTTAAGAAGATACATCTGATTATCTGCACAAGTAACCTGAAATTTCTTGATCTTAGTAGAGTTAATGAAACATTTCCTTTGCTTTTCACAGGTTGTATATTACAGCCCACCTAGATTGTAAGCTGAAAAACTCTGACTTACAGAAGAAATAGTTGGATCTGAAGAGATGATAAAATGCAACAAGGGAGATCCTATCTTTGGCAAAACTTGCTTCTTCCTGGTATCAAGCTCCCAAACAACAAGAACACCTTCTTTTACCCCTGAAAGGGTCACAAGCAAAGGATATATAGCATAAGAACTCAATACATACAAGTTCTGAAACGTTAATTTTTTAATCCACACACAGAGATACAGTCACTATGAAGAGAAAATAACTTAGTCTCACCAGAATACAAAAGTGCTCCATCTAAAGAGAAATTAAGGACGGTTACTTCGGCGGAGTGCCAATTGAAAATAGTGCAAGATTCATGATCATCTTCACTTTTCACTGAAGTAAGTTCCCCATTACCAATATCCTTCCAAATTAACACTCTTCCTGTTACATCGCCGGCTGCTAATATTTTATGGTTGGGATGGAAAGCAAAAGCAGTAATCAACTGTGTGTGACGTAATGTCGTCTCCTTTGGCATGAGATGCTCTGATGCCCCCAACGAGGCATTCCATAAATGTATATTGCAACCATGACAGACGCCAAAAAACTCTCTTGAGGGACTTACAACAATAGGTTTTGGTTCTTCCATCTGCTCATAGACAAAATGATTGAAACTTTACAATGAAGCATAGGGCATTAAGGATAATAGGAAAATGGTTAAATCCACAAATCTGACCTCTTTCAAAATGTCTCCACTAGGAAGAGGCTCTTCAGTGAGAATAAATCTACGGATTTGTCCAAACATATCTCTGGACAAACTTGAGTAGTCCTCAACCGAAACATAAGCAATCAAAGAACGTGACACGTGAAGTGGAATCGTCACCTAAGTATCCCAACATATATATGGAAAGGTAAAGCTGGGAAATGTGAATATCTTTCTCATGAAAAGTAAGAAACTTGAACAAACCAGAGAGTAAATAGGAAGGTGGGTATCAAATGTCTTCAAAAGCTTTGGCTCCGAGAACTCCCAAAGACGAAAAACCCATCGAGGGAGGAAGTCCAACAGTAACTGAAGGTTTCGTCGTGCTTCAGATCAACAATCACAGTCGTCACAGGTGCTGCATGACCCTCGAGTGAAGCAACCTTGAAAACAGAACGCATACATACAAGAATGAGAAGAGATGTCTAAGAATGAGAGAAAAGAGAAACCCTACAAGGGTCAAAACCTTTAAGCCAGTGGCGACGCTGTAAACAGAGACGGAGTTTGCTGTACATAGAAGCAGCTTCTTTGCGTCGTTCGAGAACGCCGGAGCGGAAGTAATGTTGTTTCTTCCGCCGCGAATCATTTTGCTTCGGCTCACAGAGATGGGGATTCAGGGAAGACGGACACATCTCTAACCGGCGATTAAAAATACCCAAAAAAACCGACGCTTTTCCGACGAAAGTTTCCCTCGCAAATATGTGCCCAGTCTTCGAGGAAAACATTAGTCTAGTGATGTGTGACCAAATCGAGACTAAAGTACATAGCTCAGTCTTGCTTCAGATTTATGATGATAAACCAAAGAAGTTGGTTTAAATGCAAACCACATTAAACCACCCACTAATGATTGAAACTCATAACGGAATGGGGCCAATGGGCTTTATCATCTCCACTTTGTGAGCTTTGTTTACGGGCCTCAAATAACAAATTCTTGTCTTGTATAAGTATTGTAGTTTTTTTTACAGTTTAATTAAACTTTAACCTAAAGAGGTTTGGCTTCACCACTCTATTCAAACAAACAGACATATTGTATTCGTTTTCGAGTCTGATTGGTGATCAATATTTAGGCGGTGAAATTAGAAGTCATTGTTACATTGACAACTTTCACTGGTCAGATCAATAGTTTAGTACAACTAATACGTGTATTATATTTGTATTGAGCATAAGAAAATAGCTTTATTGGTTTGCCCATCTCACCATTAAAAAAGCTTGTGAAAGCGATTATACGTGCAGAATAATCAAATCTATCACCGCCATATTTTTAAAAAGATCACCTTATAGAAAAGTTCGTATCTTCTTGGGTGATAAATCTTAACAAATGTTTATCCATATCTCGAATGGGCTTGGTCGGAATACTATTATCCTGAATCAAAAATACACTTAAAATAACTGCTGTTAAAGATGGCAAAAACACACCAGTATTTTTCAATGTACAGAGTATATAATTCTAGTTAACTTATGAAGTAGCCATCAAATGTTAATTAAGAATCTAAATTATTTTGAACATGAATAATGATTAATGCGCCTTAAGTAGTTTTTTATAGTGCGTAGAAGAGTTTAGAAAGGTTATGATTATTTTCTGTCGAGTTTAATTTTAATTTATGATTTTCAGTTTTTTTTATGACCGACCCTTTTAGCGATGGCTCGAAAGGTGTATGAAATAGTTAAATTGTTAAATTTATTTATTGTCAAATACTAAAATCTTAAAGCATGCATGCGCAACTTAGGTGCATCATATTAAAAAGATAGTTAAAAGTTGAGAGAACTGAGAAGAAAAGAAGATGAGAAACAGCTGCATCAAATTAAACTTACCCACCGTACGTACGTGTTCACATTATTAATCTAATCCTAACCAAACGCATCAAAATTTAGCAAAAAAACAAAAAAAAACAAAAAAAAAAAAGACAAACGCATCAATATTATTATCCTTTAGTCAATTAAGAAATATATATCATATTGTCCATAATAATCATTTTATGCAACGGTTTTAAGTGGTTGTATCAAAATTTGTTTTGCTTTCTGAAATTAACTTGGTTGCTAAAACCGTTACATGCAAGAAGAAGAAGAAGAAAAAAGGTTCAGTTCGGTCGCATTTTTCGTCTAATTAAATATGTATGTTTTAGAAAATGAACAACTAAAATTTGAATTTCTAGCTTACAATGAACTTATAATTTACGACATGTACATGCCATTTAATTAGATGAGAATCTATATATTTAAAGTGGAACCACATGCACGACACTTCTGATGATCAAGCATGAAAAAATCGTATAAATGATTACAATTGTACTTTCAATTATTTTCTTTTACCCTTGAGTATCTTTCATCATTACAATCTACCAAGGAGCTTTTGTTTTCCCATAACCAAGTTAATTAATTAGTCAATAATAGCCCTTCTTTAATCATTATTACATTTGGTCTCAACCCCTAGACTCCCCTTTAAAGTTTGGATGCGAAATGTTACATTGCATATTTACATATATAGGCTTCGAATTACATATATAGGCTTCGAATGGGAAAACATATAAAGCAGAGCAGATCAAATATATTAGGCAGATCTAGCAAAATAAAAGCAGATCAAACAGATTTGGCAGTTCAAGTGCAGATCATATATTAAACACTTTAAAATAGAAGTGTTTGATCTGCTTTGAAAAAACATGAACATAAAATAAATTTTCTTTTTTTTTGTCCACCTACAGAATTTTAGCAGGAGAACTGCTTTTATAAATGATAATTATTACTTTTTATGAATGGTAAACAAAATGCAGTTAATCTGTACCACTATATATATGCTTTATATCTGCCTTTCCATTCAAACCCATAATCAAACAATGTTAAAATTTTACACTTCTAAAAGCTTTTCTTTAAAATACAACATCGAATTATGATTTTGATTGGTCACTCGCACTACAGCGATACAACATATGATATTAACGTGTTACCAAATAGAGAGATTAAAAATAGCATTTTTATGTTTTTTGTTTTAACCTTTTTAACTATTCTAAATTTCTAATACTTCTTATATAAAATTTGTTTATACATGGAGTATTACTCTCTTGTCCCGCTAGCTCCGATCCAAACGTTTGTTATATAAAATTTGAGTATTAACTAATTATTCAGCGATGTTCCTTTAAAATTTTCTAAGGTTATATTAGATGATCGTGTAGTGTTCCGAGTTAGTTTCCTAATCTGAAAATATTATATTGCAGGATTCAAGAAATTAATTATGTTATTAAAAGTGTATTCTATAATGGCCAAATGCATCACACAAGTCATAAGTTTATACCAAGTGTACCCTTATACTTTCAAGTCTTATCTAGTTTATCATCCTATAAACTCTTGATAAATTTCTAGTATAATAATTCTCTTAAGGCTATAAAGTTTCTTTGGGGAGCATGTGAATGAATTATGTTTGCTTTCTTGAACAAACCTTTAGCTAATTTCGGCGCATGTTCATACCATTCGTAATCAAATTGTAGTTTGATAGTATGTTGTCTATTATATTATTAACATCAAAATGATATAAATTTCTAATCCATTTACTTGTACAATATACTTTATATGCTAATGTTTCAGAGGACTACAATATTTAAAGTGTTCAAAAGAAATAGGGATCATAATAATGGATTCAAAGGTTGGAATAGGATGAGACATTGAGACATATATGAATAATTAAAATGAATGATAACTCTCTTGTTTTTATTTTCTTCTCTTTGAGGATTCATTCCCCCAAAATCAATTGGGAAGAAGAGCAAATAATTTACTTAACCTTCACGCTTTCCATTTATTACACTCTGCTTTTTGAACTGCCATTTTACTATTCCAATGCCTCTTTCGCTACTCTTTCTTTTTATCCATTCGTTTTTCTTCTTTTCAGAAAAAACATTTTTCAAGTTTTACGTTAATAATAATACTGTAGTAAAATACTATATATAGGCTTCCTATAGATCAATCATACGAACTTAAGATAACTACACCTTCTATTTAAGACTTTACTTTGATACAAGCATTATTATTAAGCTTATTCATGGTGTTCATAAAACCTCCTTTTTTCTTAAATTATTTTCGTTGCAAATTAGATTAATGTTGTCTTCGATATTAATTCGAACTTGTGACCACTATCTTTGGGAAAACATTCTGTAATTATTTAGTCCCGCCACATAGTTTCTAGCTATGTGATTTGGAATCACATAGTCTAACTCTTTGATTATTCCACTTAATCTGCCGTCGCTATTCATAATAATGCCTAAAGAAAGCAAAAATATTACACTTTAGTTTTACAGTCTAATTATAACCAAAAAAATAAAAAATGTACTATGTTTACAAATGTAAAGAGACGTCATAGAGAATCTTAGAATGTCCCACAAAGCCAAACCCCAAATGAAACCATTTCTTCTATAAATTCCAATTCCTTCTCTCACACAAGAGAACATTTCTCCAAAAGTAAAACATATCTCTCTTTCTCACTCATTAGTCTCTCCACACTCTTTATAAACATTTTCTACATATCACCCAAAGAAAATGGAGTCTCAAGCTCGCAACCAAACAGATCAGTCCAAGCAGATCATCCTCGTACACGGTCCCATCATCATCGGAGCCGGCCCTTCCGGTCTCGCCACGTCAGCTTGTCTCTCGAGCCGTGGAGTCCCTTCTTTGATCCTAGAGCGTTCCGATTCGATAGCATCTCTGTGGAAGTCTAAAACATACGACCGGCTCAAACTCCATCTCCCTAAACACTTTTGCCGGTTACCCCTGTTGGATTTCCCTGAAGATTTCCCGAAGTACCCTTCCAAAAACGAGTTCTTGGCCTACCTTGAGTCCTACGCTTCCCACTTCCGCATCGTCCCGAGGTTCAACGCGAACGTCCAAAACGCGTCATTCGATTCCTCCTCCGGTTTCTGGAGAGTAAAGACTCTTGACAACACGGAGTATCTCTCCAAATGGCTTGTCGTTGCCACCGGTGAGAACGCAGATCCATGCTTCCCGGAGATTCCAGGGATAAAGAAGTTTTCCGGCGGGAAAATCGTCCACGCAAGTGAGTACAAAAGCGGCGAAGAGTTCCGGCGAAAGAAAGTTCTGGTCGTCGGATGTGGAAATTCCGGTATGGAAATTAGTTTAGACCTAGTCCGACATAACGCCTCTCCTCATCTTGTTGTCCGGAACACCGTAAGTGAAAACATGTCTACTTTTAAAGATTTCCTACTATCCGTCGGTTCTTTTTTTGTCTATATGAATGAAACAATACAATTGTTTTGAGGTAGGTTCATGTGTTGCCAAGGGAGATACTTGGGCTATCAACATTTGGAATTGGGATGGGACTTCTCAAATGCTTACCCTTAAGGCTCGTTGACAAGTTCTTGCTATTGATGGCTAACCTTTCGCTTGGAAATACAGACCGGTTAGGTCTTCGTCGACCCAAAACGGGTCCGCTTGAGCTGAAAAACGTAACCGGAAAAAGTCCTGTTCTCGACGTCGGAGCTATGTCTCTCATCAGAACCGGCAAGATTCAGGTGAGTGTAATTAAGGTTTCCAAAAATATCTCTGTTTTAGATTTGATGTTTTTATCTTTTATGAATTGAGTGACAAATTTATTATTTATGCGTGGCCTAAAGCAACTTGTTATTTTTAATTGTGCCCACGAAATAAATACTTGTATTAGCCAACTTTCTAAAAGAACCGTGTTAATGTGGAAACTACG